AAACTAAGGAATTTTTTGTTTAAAAATAAAGAATTTGTATAAAACAGAAAAGGCGATGTCATATAATTGCTATTTAACGACTAAACATGAGCCCTCTTTATAATCTTCCCCTCCGCAAGTCCGCATCTTTTTTGACCTGGTATCCCCAATATGGAGGAGCAAGAAGTGAAGGATAAACAAAAGATAGGAGGCCCGTTCTTGCTCGGGGCCTCGAGTGTGATTTTTTTTTTTTTTCAAAAGCGTGTTCCTGAAAATGTTCCTATTTATTTTGTTTCAATGCTTCTTAAAGCAGGTTGTTTTTTATCTGTTCCGATGCAAATCATTAAAAAAAAGAATGTTGTTATTTATTTATTTATTTATCTAGTTTATTTTTGCAGATTAATTGTATTTCTGTGTTCTTGCTCTTCGATCATTTCATTCGATTTTTCATTTTCATACCAAATTACAGATCACGAAAATTTAAACTTTTATGTTAAATTCCGTTTCAACAAAACTAGAGAAATAACAATTTCATTTATCTTTTCCCATTTATTGGATTTGCATTATTCTATTTCAAGCCTAGTGGGCTGCGGTATTTCTCTGCGTAATTCAGCGAATGCGCATCAAGATGTCTTTGTCTGGCCTCTCATTCTGTGTTTCAGCGTTATTTCGTTGTGCAAATGCATTTATCATGTTCATAAAAATGTGTAGATTATTTTTACCTCAAGAAATCTTGCATTTTTTTCTGCCAAAAATACGATGGAATAAATTGAACTAAAAATTGCAGGCCGTGAAATTTTCAAAAAGAAAAGTGTTGAAACTTGTCTGGAGATGTCTGGATGATTGCGCAATGCTCTGTCAGTGTCAGAGCTTGTGGCGTGGGCCATGATGTGCAAGAAACACCGTGATTAAATCAGTATCTTGTCACAACTCACCGTGATGTTGCGACCCATACATCACAGTGCGCTGAGGCGTTTCGAGGAACAGTGAATAGATTTGGCCACGAGAGACCGTGGTTCGCAAAAAAAACAGAAGTCGCCTCATCACAATACGTACTGTACTAAACTCATGCAATGATTATTCAAAGAACTCCTTCCTGTCTCTGTCGTTTATCCACCCGTCATTGTTCTTCTTTGTCTCTCTGCTTCTCTCTCTTAAAGTGCCGCGCTAGAATCATGAGGACGTACCGCTGCTGTGGTTCATGGCCTAATTTTCAACCCGTCAAAATGACGGATGGCCTGAAATGTTTCCGTCAACTCTGAAAAAAAATCCGTCACTAATGGAAAATTGTCGGTTCACGTACCCGCTGCAGAAACAGAAATATAAAAGATGTAAATGTTTATACTGTTTTGTTTAAGTTAGATTTCGTGACAAAAGACAGGCTTTAATTGGTTATCATCAATCACCCCTCCTCCTCCCGAGTGCTCACAAATAAAATATGAAATTTCGGGTTTGCTTCGGGCCCGGGCCTGCAAATCAAGTTAATTGGTCGAGGTCGGGCTGGATTTTTTTAGGCCCGATCTTACCTCTAAAACACACACACACTAAATTCTTCTTCTTATTATTATTGTTATTGGCAGAAATTGAGGGCCCCAAATCCAATGTTGCCAAAAGAGTTTGACCAGCATCTTACCCAGAAGGGACATGATGCTGACAGTGTCCCGCTGGGTCTTGACCCTGTACGTGTCCATCAGCCGGTCGTCATAGTGACGGGCCTCGTGTTTCTCAGCGTTGAAGCTCGGCGTCGTCGAACGGCCAAGATGATCTCATTAGCCGTCTCGTTTGCCGCGGACATGGAGTCATGGTGGCCTGCGTCAACCGCTGCAAACGCAAGGTTGCATCATTCGTGGGGTTGGGCGAGTCATCGATTTGGGGTGGCTTTATTTGAAGATCACTCGACCAGCCAACTCATTAGAATGACCGAAATCCATCCGTTTGACTGGACTGAACAGTGAGCGGAGCTACAGTAGCGACAATCAATGGACATGATTGGTCTGTCAGCTTTACCTGGTGCTGTTTGTTGGAGATGGTCTGGATGAGGCCCGTGATGGGGACCTCCAAGAGCACTAAACATGTTAGCATCCATGAGAGGTTCACCATGTGTGTACGCCGTCTGGATGAGCGTCCTCAGCAGAATGTTGATGTTCAGACAAACCGTTTCAGCCATCAGGGGGATGTCTTTGGAAAGCAAGGAGGTGGGTTCACCTGCGCCCGGAAAAAAAATTATACATTTATTTTTTTGGGGTGGGAGGGGACACTACATCACACTGGCGGGGGTCAGAGACATGACCGCTTGTTTGCTGTGCACTATTTTTGTACCACACTCTCTGCATTACCTATCTTTGCGGTGTCAAAAAAGGCCGTCTCCTGGTTGGTCTGAGCATGAAAGAGCTTTGCCTTCACTCTGCACTTGAAGGAGCGAATGACCCACATGAGGAACTGGTTCCCTCTGCTGCCGGCGCCCACCGCGCTGCGGAAACAAAAACAAGATGGGCGGTCACTTTACCAGAAGTTCTCGAACTTGGGTTGTCAGAAGGGTCTGCAAATGATTTGTGATTAACGTTTTATTTTTATTTACAAAGTGGTTTCCCGACAAAATGGGCATCGAACCCCCCCCCCCACCCACAATAAACCACCAACTTCCCACGAAAGAAAACAGGAATTACTTTTTTTTCATTAAAATGGGCAGCTTTTTCATTCCTGTAGGCATTTAGGCGTACTCATGGTAATTATGTTTCATCGGCGCCTGGATTATGCAGGCATCTGACGTTTTGGGGGTCAGGATACTTCTCACCTTCCCACTGAGAACACGCCCATGAGAAGCAGTGCTGACAAGAAGTCATCTGGCCCGAAATCCTCACGCAGGTTGTCAATTACCTTGCCCGTGTAATACCGGATCTGGATCCCACCTGGGACACGCACACAAGAATAAATTCCCTCAACCCCGACATTTCCTTTAATTCTGTTTTATTTGGAGTACATTTTCCCATGCAACGTTGTAAATCAAGGGGACCACTCCTTGATTCAGTATTCCCCCGGCCCTCCCCTCATTCATTTCGACCCCTTCCTTTATCCTCATCGCGAAACTGTGTAACTAATGGGGAGAAAGCAAAACCCTCCGAGCAGCAGGGCCAAGTCCGGCCTGTACATGCGAAGCACCCTCATGAACAAAACTCGCGGCTTTTGTCGCTTCTGTCTCCGGCCACTCGGGGAGTCTGGCACGCCGACTTCCCACAGCGAGGCAGCGGCCAGCGAGGCTCCGGCGCACACGATCCAGCAGCGCGAGACCCCCGCCGCCTCGGGGCGGGGAGCGCGCTGTGCAAGGCGAGGAAACGAGCCGGCGCTGCGGGGAGCTCGCCGAGCTTGGTCAG